GTGTTCCTCCTTGGCGTTGTTGAACTGTAGAGCGAGAGCTGTGCGTCCATTGACGTTGGCATTGATCCATTGAAAACTTGAACTGTAGAGCGAGATCTGTGCGTCCATTGACCTTGGCGTTGATCCATTGAAGACTTGAACTGTAGAGCGAGAGCTGTGCGTCCATTGACCTTGGCGTTGATCCATTGAAGACTTGAACTGTAGAGGGATCGAGAGCTGTGCGTCCATTGACCTTGGCGTTGATCCATTGAAGACTTGAACTGTAGAGTGATCGAGAGCTGTTACAAACGCATGCGCGGCAGTTATCAGATATAATTCAAAACAATATTGATACATTTCTCTTTCCATTACAATTTCAAATAAATCATTGTTCCATTACATTAAATGACCTTGACTCAATCAATATGTCCATTTTATAATCAACAGTGTTTTTATTTACAACATGAAAAAACAACCATTTTGTCAAACCCAACACAAAATAGAACTGGTGAATAATCAAACTGGTGTTACTGTTTCACAAGGTCAGTAAAACCACTCTTAGGTCCCTTTGTCTCGTTTATGGGAAAACAATCACCCACACTATGCAACCCTTTATTGCGCTGCAAATATAAATGCCCAAAATGGAAAAAGAACACAACGCCACTGTTTTACAATGAAATCGTTAACCTCAGTGAAACAAATCATGCATAGCCCTCGCACGCACTTCCTAACCTGCAGTTATTACTAGTAAAGCGATAGGTGTCAATCTCTGAATGGGCATCAGCTCGCCAATGAAAACAAAGAGCGTCCCGTTCGCTTTCGTGGATCCTGATCTGTAAAAAATGCTTTTCTGATGTCATCTGCGAGGATCACTGGATAGCCCCTCTGTTGTATAAGTATGTCCCACAGCTTGTTTTGTAGAACAGGTCCTGGGTACAGGCAATCGTTTAATGATGGTGAATTTGGCATGGCTCTCGATGACGCTTCGTAAACGATTCTCATCTTTGTAGTTTCGGCTGACTTTCGGATGACACTCTTATGTGGAATATAGAACTCTTTAGGTTGTGAGACGGAGGGTGCTTTCTCGATTACTCCTTCTGCTAGCTGTTCTTTGATGATGTCATCGTAATCCTTTGTTAGGCAATCACGCTCAAGCTTTCTGTTTAGCTTTTTTGTAGTCTTCTAAGACTGTTTTCTTTGTTTGACGGTAAGTCTGGGTGATTGGGCTTCCATGGGAGGATTGTCTCGTACCAGCCTTCTGGTGAGCGTGTTAATCGTTCTTTAAACTCTTCGAAAACGACTGTCTGGTCCTGGTCTGCTGAGTCACGCAATCCCAGAACGTCGAGTTTGCAAAGTTCTTCGTAATTAGACTGGGTTGTCTGTGTAAGCAACATGACGCTCTTATCGAATTCTTGGCCAGGTGACATGATAAACCAACCAAATTTCGTCAGTTCGGCAATGGGTGCGTTGTCCTCCCCAATGCGTGGTTTTGTTTCTGTTTTTATTCTTGCATACTCTCCACTCCCGAGGATTACGTGTACTGGCAGTCTTGCTTTCGTGTCGTTGTCGTTAACATAAACACCTCTCAAGTGTGGATACTTGTCAGGAAGTTCGCGATAATTGGGGTTATCAATTGACAACAGTTCTGACCTGTTTATCTTGGTTGCTTTGACAGGAAGTGTAAATTGGTGGTTGACAGATTGGAGGCTCAAATCCTATACTTCAAATGCCGCGACCTTGGTTGACATCAACATATCAATTGACTTTGTTTGGACTGCAGAGGACTTCACGCAAAGAAGGTTGATCAATTTTGCTGACACGTATGAGCTACCCGCTCCGGAGTCGATTAGCACTCGGCATTTGATTCCATTGACCTCTACTACGAGAACCGGGAACAACCCTTCTCCGACTTGGTTTGTAGTTAAGGCGACCCCTGTCGTAGGAGTTGGCTGATTAGTTTCTTGTCTGGGTGCATCACAAATGGACGTGTGGTGATGCTTGTGGCATTGTTGACAGACGGATTTGCTAGGACAGAAGGCCGCTTCTACTTCTATCCGCATTTGATTTAGTTCTTTACCAAGGGACCACAGGGTGGACAAATGTCTTTCGATCGCTTCTGACTTCCCTGTTTCTACGATGGTGTTCGTTTTACCAATGCGCATTTTAAGCTGTGTTATTTTGATATCTAGATTCACTTCAGTCACTTCCATCTCCGCAATCTTCGCACGGGCGGAAAATCAGGACTAAAATTGTACTCACAACAGTTGTCCTTGTCCTTCTCCATCCCGTCGGAGGTGCCACGTTTCGTAAACTTTGCCCCGTTTACTAGGGATAACCGGTCTTCTAACGTACTGGACTCAATCAACAGACTCGACTGAGTTTAACTGTTTAATCGTTCTCGCGTATTCACTCGGTTACAGCAGGCGTGTAAAGAGCTACTCTGGAAACTTGAAACGAGATCCTAATTCTTATACTACATTCTCTACATTGTGTTTGATCGTTGCTAAGCACTATGAAAAAGGTTATTCGAGGTTATGTCAATGATGTACAAATTAGAAACTCCACGATAATGTTGTTGACAAAATTAACGTCACGCAAGTAATCACGCAGTCTCTGACAGAATTGAAGCTCATTACCACTCATCTTAGTTGGCATTTTTTAAGTAATTTGAAATCTATTTGACAGGTAAATTTGCATGTATCAAAATTTTGCATAAATATCAACCAAGTTGTCTGTGGACTTGAAAACATTGTCCTCTACACTGTGAACTTTTCTCCTGAATTAGAGTATTTTTACTTAAGGGGAGCCTTATTTGAGGGCCTCTCCTTATTCATTTGGGCATCCCCAAATTTTTGTTTTTGGCTCCTATGGGAAAAAAGAAGAAAATCATGTATTTGTATATATACATATATATATATATATATATAGATAGATAGATATATATATAGATAGATAGATAGATATA